CTTAATTGCTTTCGTATCATGTTGTTCAATTCAATAATAAAAACGAAAAGAGGCGCAACACGAAAGAAATAAAATCGAGAACCCAAAGCAACTATGTAGTATCGGATTTAAGAATAACCAGAGTACTTCGTCCGTTGCATAATCGTCTTCGATAAAGTCCATCATGATTATAGGTATAAAAACCTGCAGACCACGGCCAACAAACCCGACACATTTATAAACCTCGTTCATTAAAAAATTGCAGGAACTTATCAGTTTTTGTTACATAAACGGATTAGGCAAATTCAGTGAACATTTATCTTCATCACCATACCCAGGTTACATCAAAAGTATCAAGACAACAGGATTTGAGAAAGAACCAACGTTTCAGTTCGGGCTTCTATATTGTTTTTGATGGTACCACGATCGAGAGTTATATGTCTTGATAGCGTTGAAAGAGAAATGGATGACGTTATGAGCGAAGTATCACTTGACTCCTATATCAGAGTTGAAAAGTTAAAATGTGATCAAAAAATGTTCTCCTCAAACTGGAAATCGATGAGTCCTAGCGAATTTTTTTGTGAACGTCAAATATGAGAGATCGAAATATCAAATTTTTCCACAAGCTGATGCCCCCGACCTCATTGGTGCCAAAATCAGAGACCCCTGTGATGATTCAAAGGTTTTTTCAGATTCTGCTGAAACAAAAATTTTTCATGTGCATGGTTATCTTTGATTCATAGGAATATCGTTTACTCATAAATTTGTTATCTCTTGTTATCAGTAAACTATTTGCCTCCTGGGAGCTGTATTTGCACCTTTGCATTGCCCCAGCTATGGTATCTGTTGTTCAGTCCTAGTTGGTTCAGGTATCCTCTCAATGAACAGTGTGAAGTATAGCACTTGTTTTGATCTGACCCTTGTTTTTTCGATACAATTTTATTCTTGAATAGTCCGTGTGTATTTCCGGATTTATTTTTCCAACACTTTTTATAATTCTTATAGACCCACTTCTACAACTAATTCCATGTCAAAGATTTTGTGACCCCTGTATTTGGTTCAAGACCTATACATGGAAGGACATACTCATCAGCTTTTTCGTTACCTTTAATACCTGACAGTTTCCCAAAGCAGTCTTGATGACTGTGGAAATATTGATCTTCTCAGTTTGTTGAGGCCTCAAATCAATAATCATTGAGTAATGTAGGATTGCGTACATTTCAGCCTAGAAAACTGATATGTGCTGACCGAACGGAAAACTGAAATCGAAATATCTCCTCACAAAATATATTCCAGCTCCCGTTCAATGTTCAGTTTTCGACCCGTCTGTCTGTATGCCAGATGTTTGTGCTGAACATGCTCTCGGAATGAATTGACGTGACACCACATTGCTTCTATACGCTTCGGACCATTCATTAAAATAGAAAAGACACGAAGACAAACTTCTGCGTCACGTCCGCGCCGCGTCTCCGCCCGTCGTCCTTTCTATGTGCATCGACGCGAAAGAACACACATTCGTGCATTTCAGATTTTGATCAATTCAGGAATTAGTATCAGGAAATCCATAGAAAACGTGTATCGTTGGCAAGACCATGTTGAAAAATGTTCGACTTGTTTAAGCATCAACTGCTCCAAAAATGTATTCAAGAATATTTGAATATTAATTAGTTGAGTTATATTTATGATGAAATTCTCTGGAGAAAAATAACCTTCAAATAACATTATTAATTGAAAAGGGGAAACGATAGTTACTTCCGAGTTACAGAAAATGTTACAGAAATATAATTTATGATTGGTCACTTGTAACTAACTTGATGTATCCACGCAGGATGAATATATAAAATAGCTCAAAATAGACGCAATGGATTATTAATAATATTTGTTTACTTTCGCGCAAACAATTCTATTAATATATTTATTATCGACAGTAATGTATGGAAAAATATTTTTGAAACACTGTCCAAAGTCGAATTATCGTATATTCACAGTAATTCTGGCTTGACTTACTGACCTACAGGTCAAAATAACAGCAATGGTAGAGCTTGTGATTCACTACTTGAATCTTATTTATTTCACAAACACTCATTTTTATTTTTTCAAAAGAATACATTTTTATATAATTCAAAATTTATGCGCACTATATTTATCAAGTCACGTTTCGTCAATAATAATGAGACAATAATAATAAAGCAATAATAAAGCATAATATGAGAGCCTCTGGTGTTTTTCATCACAATATTTTTTTTATCAAAAAACAATATTTCGAGGTTACTATTTCGTTATGTGTTTCAGAAGAAATTATTTTCATGTTGTTATCAAAAATGAACAATTTCATGACAAAAATCAGAATGTAGAATAGATTCAATGGGTTGAACATAACAAAAGGCCAACTTTCATCTTCAATTAACGGAGTGGAATATTTTTTAGAAATACAAAGAGAGGAGAGGAGAAATTACAAAGTGATTGTAATGGCTCCTCAAAATATTAAGTTACATATTATTGAGAGATTGATAGAAAAAAAGACGTGAGAATAATCGGAAAAACAGGATTTAAAGATCAAAAACAATAAGCACGAGGATGAACAGACTACATTCATATTTAAGACTCAGAATTCACTATGGCAGTTGAAAATAATAATTCCCTTCTACTTTCGAACATTCTCATCATTCTCTAAAAATAATCTAACAATTCTTTTAATTGTTTAGCAAACGCCAGGTCATATACCATTGCAAAGACCATTATCATCCAGCTCTATAATTCCATTTCGAATTTTAAAATCCACAGAATTTTTAATCTCACCAACATTTACCAGAGTCACAAACACACTTATGGGATGTTTTCCCAAATTCTCTGTATTTCAATTCAAGTGACTGAAGACCCATATACAAACGATTATGGATATGACATCTCTTTGTAAATTAGATCCGTTCTTATCCCTTCAACGCTACTAATATGCGGAATACAAATTTGTCGGGTTCGTCAAAGCGGTGCCAAACTCTGAAACCGACTCGGCACAAACCGCCTCGTTTGTCTTTAGGCCCAATTCACATAGAACCGACGTCTGGCAGAGACGAGGCTGTTGCATGGCACAGACGTGGCGGAAGCGTAGCATATTTAATGGACACAGAGGAGCGGGACAGTGGCGAGAAAGGACTTTACTAACCTGTCAGGCCTGATTTTGGGCAATAATCAGCAAGATCAAAATCGAATAAACAAGGATATTTGTGAACTTCTTCGCAAAATTGTATGTTGAAGTCTACATCGTCCCGCATTTTTGAGGATGAACACGAAGAACAAAATAGCAAATAACTGGAGTGCCCCTTCTTATACGCCACGAGAGACTGCAAAGAGTCGAAGAGCGTGAAGGCGGCCGCCCACGCCACGTCACTTCTGTGACCATTAGACCATTTGTTTACATAGGAGAAACACGGAAGGGACAAAGGTCCGCGCCGCGTCTCTGCCAGACGTGCGTTCTGTGTGAACTGGGCCATAGGCTGAAGCCTACACCGACCGCAAACACAACGCATTCACAATTTAACACCAGACAGCGCTGTTTCGACTCGTCATATGCCTCGTCAGTGGTGATAGGCTGAACCACGAATGCATTGTGGAATTGGTAGCGGTGGTAGTGCGTCCGACTCACGATCGGAAGGCCATGGGTTCGATTCCTGCCTCGACCAGATATTTTTTTCGAGAGAATTTATCTGATTGAAGCTGGGATGATTCTACAACCGTGTTAGAAATCACACGTTAAAAGGTAAGACCTCGTTAGTCCTTAGCTCGCACAAGTTTCTCAACTTCTGAGAGTTGTCGTTTGTATGGGGGCGACAACTGATTAACGGAAAAACAGATTTTTCAAACAGATTTCTTACCAAACTGCCCTTGAAGAACAAGCCTAAGTAAATAAAGGTGCTGACATTTTTCCTCACGAAAATGCCATCTATGGGGTCGACAGAGAACCCAATCCTTAGATATCCAAGATGAACAAGGCTTCCCGAAGTGGTCAGTTGCAACTATGGATTTTGCTTTTTCGGGTATAATCCGAAGTGTTCGATGAAATTATTTAATAGTACCAAATTTTCATAATTTTCCTAATAATACTTTTAGCGATATCTAGCGAAGCAATTTCTGGAGAAACACCTTGTATAGTCTATTCTAACTTTGGAATATTAAAAATCCTCACGAAGTTGGGTCGGTTTTTTAAGGAGTGGGGTCAGTTACGTAGGTAGTGGGGCAGTTCGTTCATCGCAGAAAGTTTCTACATCGAAAAACAATAACTTCTTGTAGACTAGAGCATAACCAAGTTCTAACATTCGATCGAACTTCTAAATATGATTACCATATATTTCAAATGAAATCAAGGAATATGTCAATGTTATTTATCAGGTTTATTGGCCGTAATCTGCAAGTGGTTATAATCAACGTTTCGTTTGCATTAGGCATCAACAAATACGATGAGTCAACGGGAGCATTCCTTTAGTTATCCTCACAGTACAGTAGTTTGTCGGACATACTTGAAAATATCAACAAATCAGCAATAGTCAAATATACACTCAGAGAAGGCCCTCACGTTATTGCGTTCGAACAAACTCAAGTGCTCTTTGAGCAATTAGAGCTACTATCTAAAACTAAATAGGGAGGCGGTATAAATTCAAAAATATAAAGACAATTTTAACAGAAGAGAAGAGGAGAGCATAAACATAGATACATTCTGGCTACCTGCAGTAAACTGTACATGTATCAGACCAATAAATGCAACTAATATGAACTAAGCCACGTCCAACACAGATAGAATAAAACCGGACACCCGTTCCTTGGATGATGCAGTATGTAGTATGTACTGTAACGACAACCAGAGAACTTCGCCGTTGCCCCATCGCCTTCAATAATATACACGGCAGTTGTAAACGGCGCGTGAGGCATGAAAGATTCGATATAATTTGAAATTCAAATAATGTAACTGATCAACAGTGGAATCCATTGTGCTCTCAGAAAACTGAGTGTAAAAAATAATCAATTACCTGATTCGGGTGTCTGACTAGCCTCCTTCAAGTCACTGATCAAATCCGCAAAATCCCCCATTTTCCTCTTGCTCAGCTTCCTGTAGCTTATGGTTTCTGAGAATACTTGGCAAAAAAATTTTATAGAACTTTGGTTTATAAAATCAACTCGAAAAGTACCCACCCACCGTGGTCTGAAAAAATAAATTACGAAAGCAAAAGCATTTCTCCAAGAGAAATCAAACATATTCCTCCCAAATTTTCGAAATTCTGTATCCTCATCGTCAAAGCACTTGGATTCAATTCCGAAACAACACTTTGCTATGACATCTGTCGAATATTTAGACGCCACTTCCTTTGCTTCGATATCTCCCAAATTTTTCTGTAAGTAGTCAACTAAATTCTCGCCCACGCTATTCACAAAAGTGAACATACGTTTAATTTTACCCGATGTGAAAACAGGGGTGAGTTTGTTTCTAGTTCTTTTCCAAGCTGGATTCTTTTGTAAGAATGTGAAACTCGCCATAATCTCATCATGTGGAGGTGTAGCTACGCTTCTATCGGAAAAGTATGAAAAATCTTTAATTAGGATGCGTTGAATCAGTTTAGGACATCTAACCATCAGATAGGGTTCATCAAATGCAAAAAATCCAAGGTACGGCAAATCTGTTGTGGAATAAAGTGTCTTTATCAAATCCGCGAGGTTTTTCCTCATAAATAGAATGTCAGAAAGATTTCCCAGAAAAGGGACTGGCTGAGGATTGAATACTCCTCGTTTTTTCCAATAATCGAATTTTCTTGTGCTATATTTCCAGATAAAAATTCCTGAAGTTAGTATGACAATCAAAAGTTGTAAGATCCATGAGTATACATAAGACATTTTGAATCCAAAGACAACGAAACTTGTAGAAGTTCTAGAAAACTCTAAGGTAAGTTGAAAGTTTCAGTGATTAATTTTTATGACTTCTTTGGCTACTGCTAATCTGAAAAAGTATGAGAAATAATCACATCAGGTTTCACTTGAATTCAGTATCATGGTATTGAAACATTGTTGCTGAATATTCTTTCGATACCATTTGAAGTCTGAAAAGTTCTCATAAAATAAGAACTTCACAGACAGAAAAACCAAAAATATAATTCAATGTTCTGTGTATTAGTGTATAACATATCGAATGTGCAATTCACTTCCATATCTGTTTTTAGAGAGACAGGTGGATATTATTGAAATTGGTGACATATGTGAATCTTTATAGGTATTTGTGCGACCTGCTGCTAGGTGGGTAACATGGTAGGCTGTGTAACGCACAACGCACAGGTTTTACATTGTATGGTGCGTAATTATTAACGACTAGACCATTTAGAAAAAAGTTCAAATTGTTTGTAAATCATTTTAGTGGAGACGATGTCTGCAAATATATCACTCAAATACGTTCTCACTTTATGTAGGTCCTTTTTTAAATGCTGCAGCAGAAGTTTCGTGTTTGTTAAATATCGGATCACTGTCACTAGTAGTGAAAGACATATGACCAATATTTTTCAACCGATTAAGCCTAAGTGTGGCGAATGAAGGTTCCGTCAAAGCTTTGAAATGGAAAAATGAAGCCAAGAATTGTAGCTTTCCAATTGTAATGCATATTCGTTTTATTGAAAATAGGTTTGTCTCGATTTGCCTGTTACAGTTTTTGAACAATATCCTCGAATATCTCTAGAATATATGTTGAATCTTCCATAATTTCAGCATATTCTGTATCTCCATTAGTCATTTCCGTTATCATGTCAAGTTAAGCCAAAGTATCAATACAGAAGACATTCTAAATTACTTTATCAGTAGGAGATCGACCTTCACACATCAGATAACTTGATGGGACATATTTTTTCACAAACATAATTTATTAACAAAGATGCCAATGATAACTTGCCTGTCAAAAAGTTTATATAATTATTTTTAATTGAATTAATTTCAATCCATTTCCTTTCATCACCTTCACTCTCTTTATAACCGAATGATTTTCATCTCAACTATATGCCTTATTTTTGTTCATGACTACCTGTCAAGCAGATGTCAACAGGTAAGTCAATATAGCCCTATCTGTTAATCAATCGAAATTGATATCATAAGTAAGATACTTCAATTACAAAACCAATCGTAAAGTTACAATAAATTGAAGTTCAAAATTACTCTCAAGTGTAAACAAATGCTGTCTCTGTCACTCACGGATAGCGTGCAGCTGCCATGTTGTGTCCTGCTCTATCCCACGGACCTCAGACGCTCTACTTCCTCTCTCGCACATATCAAATAGTTCCAATTCTAACATTTTATACAATTGGTTTGTAATCAAAATATCTTACTTATGATAATAATTCTGACTGGTTAACGGATTGGTGTAGTTACCTATATATTGATTGAAATTAATTCCATATAAAATAGCTATGTAAACTTTTCGATAGACAAATTATCATGCTTGTTAATAAATTATATTTGATAAAAAATATGTCTCATCAAGTTATATGATGAGTGAAGGTCGATTTCCCACGGTCTCTTCTACTACACGGAATGCTTTTTTAATTAAGTCATTAACAACAATAATGTCGAGAGAACATTAACATCGCGAATACCATCAGTATCATTTTCATAAAAAAAAACACACTTACAAATATTACTAACACAACTCAAGTAACCAAGATAAATTACAAATTAATTTTCAAAACATTCATCATTCAGTGATGTTCTCAATGTTGCAACGCCAGATTCTCCAATTGTTGAAACTTTGAGACAAGTCTGGTCAGTGGCGCATGAGCAAGAGCTCTGAGAGCGTTAGTTATTAGGTATCCAGATTTTTCTGTCCTATTGAAAGTAGGAGAGGAAAGCCGAGAAAGCAAGTAAATAATAATGTATTTATCAAAAATTAGGGTTTCTTTGTATTGTGTCGGAGTTTTGCTGTGGCTATATTTTCCACTAATATTATTGAAAATGTCCAACACACACAAGATCAATTACACTCGTAATTAGAACTGACAAAGACTGCTTTTCTCAGATATATTTTCTCAGATATATTATACAAAATATCAGATTCTGATATTCGTGGTAAACATACCCTGAATAACATTTTCTTTTCATATGAACCTCTGATGATAATTGTATAGAAAAGGAAATAATCTTTATAAATCTTGGTTAAGTAATTGAAATTGGCACAAATTGGAACTTACTTTGCAATACTCTAAACATTTATCTCCCAAGAAAGGTTACAATCAAAAGTGTAAAATTTCGATAAATTAATGGTTTTACTCAGTGATTAGTTATTTTCTATTACATCATCTCCACTAAATGAATCTGGAAGATTCAAATTCATGATGATCAAATATTAAACAGTGTCAAAAACTCACCCAGTATTTTTGAATATATTTCTAAGAATGACAGATAGATGACAATGATAATAAGCTTTTTGTAACTTCTGTTGTCACCCAAGTCTTTATATTTTTTAAGTCTGCATTATACGCGATTCGGTAAGTATTGTGTATCAGCAATTGTGTATTTTGAAGAAGGTGATTTCGGGTTTGGCGGGTATCTATTGTTTCGGATCGCATTACAGAGTGTATCAACGATGTGTTGGTGAACGAAAGCAGCTCTTCTATTCGGAATATTTTATTGGATCTTAATATCTTATCCTTGTTTTTGTGACTATAGTTAAATAATATCGCCCAAGTTTGAACACTACTTGACTCCATTACAATAACTACTTGTAGAACAACCTGCCTCTACCTATAATGTCATAAACGACATTCAGTACTAACTAACTAGGAATATTCTTGATGAGTTTTCTAACGACCACCCATGTGCTATGTTGTCAAAGCAGCTCAACTATAAATAGTAATACTACAAAATGTAATCCAGGAATATACGTTACACACCCTCTTCATTTCATTAGTTTCCATGTGTTTTCTGGTCTCACCTATAAGAAACATTACTTTCAACAGTTCCTCAAGAACTGGCGAAGACGTTCTCGATCTTCTTTCAAGCAGTAGAATGCTAGGAATGCTACGAGCCGAAAGGTCAGTTTTTGGGGTAGCATTATAGTTCAAAATTATTAGAAATAAATCTTCACTATTTCTCACAGTTTTCATCATCAATCCAGTCATTTTTGACATTTCAGCTATTTCAGACTTTGTAGGTACTTTGTAACCTTCAAACGTACTGTTCTTATTACTTGAATTACAATCTAATGAAATCTGTAACTTTCTTACATATTCAAATTCAGTCTCCGCTCCCTCACTTGTCTAGTCTATCATTCTTATAGCTAACAAGAACAATAACATCAAAAAAATAACTGTACAGTAAATAAAATGGTATGTAACATTTTCCCTCTCAGTAATGAGGAACCCATTACACATTTTTCTCACATCTAATCCGCAATTCATTGCTGGTCGGCGAAAGGTTCCCAACTTCGTCTTGATATCAACCGTTTTCTCTCAGCCGTCGCCGTCAGGAAAAACTGCGGATTTAATGCCTTTAAGCCAGGCATTTCTGGGTGAATCTTCATCGACTATAATGACTACGTCGTCGACTTTCAATGTTATTTGAAGGGCTATTTTCACGGACTTCACCAGCTTTCCTCAACATCCTCCCTTTTGAGGAGCTACGGGGATCTGGTTCCCTCTTTCAGTAATTTCCCCCACCATCTTATTCCATTCTATCTGTAACAAATAATCTTTTAATTCTTTAGCTGTACCTTTCAGATAGGTTCCATTATCGGAGTTATTGCGTTGTAGGCATCCTCTCCTTCCCACCAGTCATCTGATAGCTAAAAGTTCAGAATCTGTGGTCAAAGAGCTAGATAATTCTAAATTAACAGCCATTGAACTTAGACATGTAAATAACACACCGTAGCATTTTTCATGACTTCTATGGACAGTGAACATCATAGGATCAAAATAGTCTATTCCTGTAAAAGTGAAAGGCCTGCCCTGCATTCAGTTAATGGTGACACTCCCGGGACTGCTGGTCTTACCCTCAAATTTTTACACATCTGGCACGTGTTCCAAGTGATTTTAACTGCTGTTCGCGCTGTCAAAACCCAAAATTTCTTCCTCACCTCGTCCAGAACCAAGTCTTGTCCATGATGACCTATTTTATTATGATAATAGTCGGGCGAAATCATTTTGTTGTCAAAAATTATAGGATATTCAATACAATCATCAATGATATTTCAAATCTTCAGTCGTCCATCTACCCTTAAAATTCCTTCCGAATATAGAAAAAGAAATAGCTTGTGAATTCTGCCATTTTTAGGAAGAGTAGACTTCTTCTCTAAACAAGTCTTCGTGTTTTTTTTATTCTGAGTATGTTGTATCAATATTTTTCTGGTGAGGCAATTTCATCAGAAAACAAACTGGAATAAAAGGTTCTTTTGTAATTTAAAATTTCTAGTACCCACTCTCAGAATTCATGCAGTTGTTCTCAAAAGTCTCGTATAAGAATAAAAACGACTAATATTTGGCAAGGAATCGAAAATAATATCGTTACTCAAAATAGTTACTACAACATATTCTTTTTTTTTCTCAGACAGAATTTTTTTTTCCTATTGAATTCAGCTAATTTATCCTCTTCATTTTTGAATTCGTTCAACCATCTAGTCCACATTCATTCGTTATATCATCGAATTCATCATTCCAATCTAGATCCATTCTTCATAAACTTGCATCAAAATTTTGGCTTTGATTGTAAAATAAGTTAGGAACCTTTAGAGAATCAAATGAAGACATAATAATTTTGAGTAAACCCCCCTCAGTGATCTTCAATTCATTCAAAAATAATTATGAAATTTTTGTTACCTCCATGTTAAAAAGAGAATTATCGTCATTTGGGTTCCATAATAGTCCTAGGACTCGTTCAATGGGCAAATTTTTCTCTAGATCCAAATCCTTTAATTCCCCGTCTCTCAGACTGGAATCGTTTTTTCAAAACTTCTTTGTAGTTACCGGTTCATTTTTTCATCTGAAATCCTCCTCTTTTGTGTACCTCTTCTATAACATCGGAAATTATCTTCACGGCTTCATCTGTCTAGGTAGTCAATAACATAATTCTGTTCGCTAATTGCTCCGGCTGCACCAAGAAATTCTTCTTCAAATCCTTCAGCATTTTTTCTCACGATATATATGGCGAAGGTTGAGGATGAAACGGCTCCAAATATCAAAACGTTTCTCCAATACTCTTGA